GTTCACTAGAGACACTAAATCTGAACCTCTTGTGCAGCCAAAGACAATTCACTGGGCCGATTTGGGGCTCTTTTCTGAATTTGCCTTGAGACCACAAAGTTTTCCTGCTGAGCACATTAATTAGCTGCCAGAGCAGAGTCCAGCAGGCTGAATACTGGAGTAAATTTCAGGCATAATCCACTGTTTGTTATGGTGTTGCACTGAGAAGCCAGTCAGCGGAAAATTATTTATGAGGCCTCTAATCAATTGTCTTCACAGCTCTCATGTAAAGAGCTTGCAGGGAAGAGCCACTGTGATTAGTCAAGCTCTGTTTGTTCAAGTGCCTTAATCTTTATAATGATCTTTCCAGTACTCCTTTTTCCAAGTACTCCAAAATCTGAAAGACATTAATAATGTTAAACTGCAACTTCACAGAACAGTTTCTTCCTTTCCTTTCTTTCCCTTCCCAGTTTACACCATGGAAGGAGGAAAGCAAGGCATCCTATGTAAGATCCAACCAACGAGGCAGTAATGAAGTTGATAATAACGGTAGTAACAACAATAACATCAACAATAATCTGTAAGATTGGGCTTTCATTTTAAAATCACATATGAAATGGTCAATGATGGCACCAGCCAAACAGAGCAGTGCAACATATCCCCCTCTGCTTCTTGTCCCACAGACTTTGGTAAAGCTCCAGCCACTGGTGGAAAGCAGACCCTCCATTAAAAAAGCACCTGGCTGCAGGTGGACACACAGCCTGTTTGACTGAACCCGATGATTTCCCCACAGCCCCGCAGAGTCCACCGCGACAGCTCACAGCTGCTCGCCATGGGGCACCAAAAGAAGGTCAGGAGCGCAGAAATCACAGAACAGGTAAGGCTGGAAGGGACTATAGAGTGTGACCAAGGGAGTCACTTGGCCCAACTTCCCTGCCCAAGCACGGTCATCCTAGAGCACACGGCACAGGATTCCGTCCAGACGGTTCTGGAATATTTCCAGTGAGGGAAACTCCACCACCTCCACGGGCAATCTGTTCCAGTGTGCGGTCACTGAAATGAGGAAGCCCGTGACACAAGGGCTCGTGACTGCTCTCTCCCGAGGTCAAAATCAGGACCTGCCCTCGGCCCTAGACACGGCTTTTCCCGGGAACCTGCTGCGCTGCGCTGGGAGCGGCCCGGCCGGGCCTCTCCAGCCTGGGGCCGCTGCCGCAGACCCGCCCGGGACGGAGCGCGGCTTCGCCCCGCGGCCTCGCTGTGCCCCGCTACCCAGCTCCCCGGCCCCGCACACCCACCTGCGGCCGCCCCGGGACCAGGCGCCGCCGACCGCAGGGAAGAGAGACCCGCGGCTCACGCGCATCCCATGCTGGGCGGCCCGGGCACCACAGGCACGGGCGGCACCGGCCTCCTCCGCGTCCCGACCGGCTTCCTCGCCCGCCCCGCGAGCCGGGAG